TTAGCTGTTATAAATTCACTGTAAACCACGGCTTCACAGGGATTATTGCTTTATTTTAATAGTTTTAGTTAAAAATAAGACTGGAGACACTCTCATAATAATATGATTTTGTACAGAGCTGAAGTTGTGTTTCTTCAGTAGCTGTTTTTCTCTCGGAGCCGTGTTTGGGGTGAGGCAGATCTCCTTTCATGTGTCTGCGTCTGCTGTTCTCTCTGTGATGCTAATGAAATGATTGAGTGAATGGCTCTTTTGTGCTCGTGTGTCGCTCACGCATTTCATTAGCGAGACCCTTCAGACGGCTGATTATTCCTCTCATCACAGAAAAGCTCTCGTCTCTTCCACATGTACAATCTGTGTGTGTGTGTGTGTGTGTGTGTGTGTGTGAGTGTGTGTGTGTGTGTGTGTGTGTGAGTCTGAGTGTGTGTGTGTGTGTGTGTGTGTGTGTTGGTCGCTGCACCTGTAGTGCTCAGATCTGTGTGTCTATGATGTTTGCACCATCACTAATTTAATACTACTGATCTACAACAAATAAAAAGTTCACACATGATATTTGAGTTATTCGTTTATTTTGCACCATTAACACACATTATATTTGATTTATGATGATTTGGTGTATGTGCATCAGCTGCAGTCGACACATGAGTGACGGATCTCCTCCTGTCAGTCTGATAATTAAACACACGCGTCTCTCTCTCTCTCACACACACACACACACACACACACACACACACACACACACTCATGTTCATTTGCTGAAGAGCTTCTCATTCAGATCAGCAGCTGAGGCCAAACTCTCTCTGTAACCCAGAGACTGTCCATCTCTCTTCACCACGTATTTATTTGTGTGTGTGTGTGTGTGTGTGTGTGTGAGTGTGTGTGTGTGTGTGTGTGTGTGTGTGCAGACATACAATGTTTTAAGTGTGTATTTGTTATGTCAATGACATGAATGAAACATTAAGTATGTTTATTTTTATGTGTTTGCATTACTTTTCAAAGAGGCCAATAAGATTTTTAGTTTTTGAAAGAAGGCTCTTCTGCTCACCAAGGCTGCATTTATTTGATCAAAAATGCAGTAAAAATTGTGAATTAGAATGTAAAACATCTGCTTTCTATGTGAATACTTGTTAAACTGTAATATATTTCTGTGATGCGCAGCTGTATTTTCAGCATCATTCCTCCAGTCTTCAGTGTCACGTGATCTTCAGAAATCAGTATAATATGCTGATCTGCTGCTCGAGAAACATTTCTGATTATTATCAATGTTGAACACAGTTGTGCTGCACAATATTTGTGTGGAAACTGTGATGCATTTTATTTTTCAGGATTCACAGATGAACAGAAAGTTCAAAAGAACAGCATTTATTTGAAATAGAAATCTTTTGTAACATTTGATCAATTTAATGCATCCTTAATGAACAAAAGCATTCATTTCTTTAAAAGAACGTAGTTTCATCAAATAAAATTAAACAAAAAGTGCCGTATCAGCATCATTAAATGCATTTGTTTTGTTTTTTTATGAATACATCTATACAATCAGTACTTCAGTATTGACTATCATTGGCTCGGTTGCCGTTATTCTGATGCTACAAACACTGACTGATCAAACACAGAGGAAATACACAAGTACAGCTAAAGTTACACGTCATCCTAAACGAGCAGCAGCTAAACTAAAGCTGCTTCACTGTGATAAACACACACCTGTGACTCTCTACGGACAGACAGGTGCGTGTCAGGGGTCACACAGCAGGTCAGCGCTGTCAGAGCCGCTGAGGACTCCTGGGATACTGGAGTAATCGTCAGTGTGAGTCTCGGGGTTCCTCGCGTCTTTAGCCGGAGCTGCAGCACGCTTCCCTTCCAGCCAGTACGTCACCATGTCACCTTTACCCTGAGAGAACACACAAGAACACAGTCCAGACGCTCATGCAACTAAAGCAGGTGTGATTTCTTTTGGTTATTCAATGCAATGTTTTAGCATGATTAACTCTCAGTGAGCATTCAGCTCCGGTTTGACCAGGAAGGGCTACACAAACATTTCTGAAAAATGTAGTTTATGGTTAGGGAACAAACCTTTGCAAATGTTTTTTTTTTTGATTTTGTACAATTATATTTTAAGAAATGTAACCATTTAAAAAATGTCCATGTTTCGTGTTCGGGCCATTCTGACCCGGGTCCATTAGGTGTACTTTTTGTAATAGTGTGTCAAAAGCTTTTTTCCTGTATCTCACACACGTTTTATGAATTTTGTTTGGGAATGAACATGAATGTGTTCATCCATTGACCAACAATTGCAGCATTAAAAAAAAATAATGCAAGTAAAATGAATTTATTTGAAAACTTTTCAGAGTAACATTTATGTTGTTTGGATGTGTTTTTATTTTTATTTATTTATGAATTTTTTTGTTAGAAATAAATATGCAGGTTTCATAAATCTTGACTGTTTTGGAGCAATCATGAGTTATAAATTCAAAGGAATTTCATTAAAATCTATTCATCCCAATGGGGTTAATACTGATCATTCTCAGATTATATGTTCTTATAAATTACACAGTGATATATTCAAATAAAATGTTTCACTAATATCAATCATATATATATATATGTGTGTGTATGTATGTATGTATGTATAGATTTAATGTACATCAGAATTTCAAAATTTTTTAACTAATAAAAAAAGGGCAAATGCAATGATAACATAACATTCAAAACGTTCATATTCGCTCATTAATGAGAAGTTGCTGATCCGAGTCAGTGTGTTTTAGTTGAAAATATTAAGTTACGACTGTTTTATGCAATAAAGATTCTTTGGGTCCGAACGGATCCAGAATGCAAAAAAATCAAACACTTATACTTTAAGCTGAAGTACTAAAATAACTAAAACTGTAACACTTTACAATAAGGTTCATTAGTTAACAACTTTTGTTGTGAGTTTGTGTGTGTGTGTGTGCGTGTGTGTGTGTGTGTGTGTGTGTGTCTGTGTGTGTGTGTGTGTGTGTGTCTGTGTCTGTGTCTGTGTCTGTGTCTGTGTCTGTGTGTGAGTGTGTGTGTGTGCGAGAGTGAGATTTAGTAATCTCAGCATTTAGTAATGCATTATTAAAATCAAAAGTTGTGCTTGTTAACATTAGTTAATGCACTGTGAACTAACATGAACTAACAATGAACGACTGTATTTTCATTAACAAAGATTAATAAATACTGTAATAAATGTACTGTTCATTGTTCATTCATGTTAGTTAACTAACTAACATTAACTAAAGGAACCTTACCGTAAAGTGTAACCAAGAAAATAAATTTAAAAAATGACAGAAACCAAATAAAATTTCAAAAACTTTAAATAAATAAAGTTAAAACAGAAAATATAAAAATAAAACCAAATTCAAAATATATTTTAAAAACTATAATAATATATGAATGATGTTAACATAACACTGCACACAAAACAGAATTACTCGTAGCATTCAACAAATCTGAACTGGGAGCAAACAATAACCCTAATAAATTAAATTGATTTACATTCAGCCCAATGAGGTTATTAAATGATTGGGGAAAAATACATTAAAAGGATAGTTCACCCAAAAACAATCATTTATTCTCCCTCATGTCAAACATCTCTGGACTCCTTGACTTTCATTGTATAGACAATAAACCACACGTTGTGATGAAACTGTTAAGCAACATACAAGCATCGCCGATGGTTTCCACTTTATAAACATCATGGTTGTCGATGATCTCGTCAAAGGTGGTGTAGAGTTTGTTGAGGAAATCAACCACCTGGTAAGGAGTGCTAGTGCTGGACAACTGCGTGAATCCGACGATATCACTGAGCAAATGACGGGAAATCACATGAAGAGAGACAAAAGAGAAGAACAAAACGCCAGAATCAGAGAGAGTTTGAATTTGTCTGGTACCAGGAAAAATTATCTGTATTACTTTACAATTACATTAGTGAAAAGAATAGTTCACCCGGAAATGAGAATGTGCTGTAAATGTGGTCATTATAAATAAGTGCTCACACTCAGGCCATCAGAGATGTAGATGAGTTTGTTTCTTCGTCAGATCTGGAGAAATGTAGCATTGCATCAGTGTGGGAATGGGTGCCGTCAGAATGAGAGTCCAAACAGCTGATAAAAACATCACAATAATCCACAGCACTCCAGTCCATCAGTTAACATCTGAAGAAGACAAAAACTGAAACAAATCCAGCATTAAGATGTTTTTAACTAAAATATGAGTACATAATCCATAATAACGCTTCCTCCAGTGAAAAAGTGCATCTCCTGTTGTCTCTCACATCAAAATCCATGTGTTTAGAGCTGTTTAAACGCTGCTTAATCTGTGCAGAT